CTATCTAGCCCGGGCAAAAGAGTGAGACTCTGTCTCAAAAAAAAAAAAAAAAACAAGTTCAAAAGAGGAAGGTCCTCAGAATTTTCTGAAATAATGAAAATTTTATTTTAAAAAACATACATACTGTCTTATAGCTCCTCCTTGGAAACCATCTTCATTTATAAAGTGGGTTGTACTTATTAATCCAAAGCCCCATGGGTGAGGGTGGGGAGGCAGAAGCAGGGAATATAATGAAGGTATGTGCAACAAAAGGCTCCCCGTGATTCATTTTGAATAGTAGGATTTGGGATGTTGTGTTTTGTTGCTCAACCCCCATAGGCCTCCCTAATACAATCAGAACAGAGCGGTGTCAAATACGGTGGTGACTAATCTTTAAGAAATGAAGTGCTTTGTAACCAAAATTTATATATATATGTATTCATAGTCAAAGGAATTTAGGATATTTCTCATCTTTAATAATTCCTAGAGTTGCCCAATAGTGAAACTCCGTTCCATTTTTCCTTACAGAAATCCTCTTATAAATGAATCAAAGTAGTCACCTGAAAACTCCCAGTAAAACAACTTCTGAAGACACAAAAAGATAGGTATTGTGGCCAATACCTTAGGACTTTAAAAGCCTGGGGACACTGGGTTTCAGTTACTTACATCCTTCTCCTCTGTGACTCCTCTTGGTAAGTATCACTCTTAGAGCGCCTACCTTCATCCACATGAATCAAAATACAACATGGAAATGATATTGTGGTGGGCAGAATCCTAAAGGTGGTCTCTCCAAGATTCTGATCCCCTAGTTATTCAATGAAATAGGACTCTAGGTATTACTAGGAAGGGGTTTTTCACCTGTAACTGAAGTCCCAGGTCACCTGACCTTAAAATACAGAGATTATCTCGGTAGGCTTTTAAAAGAAAGTTTTCTCTGGCTGATGGAAGAAATCAGAGATTTGAAGCATGAAAATGACTGGATGTGCCATTGCTGGCTGGAGGATGGCAGAGGGCAGCCTCTAGAAGATGAAAACGGGGACCCCAGTCCTACCAAGGCAAGGATCTGAATCTGTCCACACCTGCATGGGCCTGGAAGTGGATTCTTTCTCAACCTCCAGATAAGAGCCTAACCAACACCTTGATTTTGGCCTTATGATACCCAGAGCAGAGAACCCAGGCTAACCTGCCCAGATTTATGCCCACAGAACTACAAGATTAATGAATGAATGTTGGTTAAGCCAGTAAATTGTGGGTAATTTATACTCAGCAGTAGAAAACTACTGCAGATATTATTTTCTTTTCTTTTGGCTTTATTTTTGGAGCCTTATTTTTATTATAAAAGGACTATATGCTAATTTCCCTACCTTTTTATTCTCCAGAAATAAACACTGTTAACAGTTTCTTTCTTTTTCCAAAAATTCGCCATAAATATGCACGAATACACAAGTGTGTGCATACATTCTAAACACACCCATGTACAAAATTACAATATGCATTTTTTCACTTAACAATCTCTCTTAGCATCTTTCCAATATCAGCACAAAAAAGCCCACCTCATTCTTTATAACAACCAAGTAGTGCCGGATTATATACCTGAATCATTATTTATTTAACCAGTCCATTATTCAAGAACAAATTAAATAGAAAACTGGCAACAACTTACCTTTCCATTTGCTACTTGGAAGCCATGCTATATTTATGATTTTGTTATTCTATGAGAATATGAGTAACATAAATTAGTTTATATGGATTTGCCAGGCCAAATGATAAATGCATTTAAAATTTTAACCAATACTGCAAACCACTAACAAAAATGGTTGTACTAATTCACATCAACACTTTTTATTTATTATGGGAAAAGGACTGCTTCCCCACATCTTTGCTATCATTGGATTTTATCAATTGAAAAATGATTTTGTCACTATCCTATGTGAATTACACTATCTCATTATACTGGTTCACAATTCTTTTATGATTGCAAAGAAGCAGCATTTCACGTATTTCTGCTGGCCATTTTTGTTCTATGACTAGCGTTACATCTTTTGTCCATTTTTCTATTGGTGCCTTCACCATTTCATATCAATTTACACAAGCGCTTTGCATATTAAGGCAATTAGATGGGCACTCAGTATGAGCACAAAAATGTTTTTCACACTTTGATTTCTTTTGCTTTTGTTTATTATAAAGAAATTTTTATTGTACGAGAGATACACTCGTGTTTTCCCTTGGGACTTCTGGATTATTTTTCATGCTTGGAATCTTTCTGGAACTAGGAGCCTGTGATTTTCTGTAGCTTCTTTACCTTTTTTTTTTTTTTTTTAACTAAATGGAACTGTTCTTCTAGGAATCCTTGGCTTCCCACAAACACTAATTTGCTTGTGAAGACATGCTCCCAGGCACTAGGTATGCCAATATCTCTTTTTCTGCAGAACACCACTGACACATCTACACAAATGCATTAATGTCCTCATCTCTACTGATGCATTTCATGGGTATAAATTTAAGCATCAGTGATGACTGGCCAGGCTCACATAATCCCTACCTAAGAAAAACTCAATGTGTAACTTTAACTCTTAGGTTAATAAGCATTGAGATGGCAGTTTTCTTTCTCGTTTTTCATGGAGACATCTAGGAAGCCTCACCTGGCACTCTGTGTATCAAACACGGGCTAGAAAATGTAGCGGCAGAAAGGAAGACGCAGAAGGCACGGTGCGTGAGGAGGCATTGCACATTATCACGACATGAGGACTGGTCCTTTATTCACAGTTTCTTCTTCTTTTACACAGAAATAGGAACCTACCAGACCGTGATAAATGCAACTTCTGACAAAAAGTCTGACAGATTTCTCCTACCTCTGAGTGAATAACAACCTGCTGGCTCAGTAACATAAGTAAAAATACTCCCAAAACCTGAATGACAGGCTTCTATCTGCCCACTCCTCTGATTAAATGCTAAATTAATGTTGAAGGGAAAAGAATTTAAGTAAGTCTATTAGAGAAAAGAAAAATAATTAAAAGGATCATTAAAGTCTTAACCACATTTGCTCTCTTCTCAGTATTAGAACTGAAGAAAATCACAGCAATAAAAGACTAATCAAGGGGCACATAAAAGATAGTGAAATTACTACAAAACACCACAAAGAAGAGTAAGATTAGGTTTTTTAATCACTATCGAATTATATGTAAAAAATGGAGCTCATCATTCATTAGCATCTACTATAGTATATACTGCCTGGCAGCATGTTGGGTGCTGGAGGAATGTGAAGATTATTTATAATGATATAATTCCAGACTCCAAGTGAGGTATTTGGCCTTGCTCGGCCCTCTGTAGGGTTTACTACTATGAGGAGGATGTAATAAAAATCTCAAAAATATAAATGGTAATAATATAGTGTATACTCATCATACAGCTTTGGAAACATAGTATTCCTACTGCTTACCCATCTCTCCCAGTTATATCCCCCTCACACTTACTCTCTCAGCGATAGCTACGCTCGTGAAACTGGTCTTTAGGATTACCATGTTTTCCCTTAGGCTGTTAATATACACATATATTATATTTTATAATTAATACATAGAATATAACATGTATCTTATATATTTTTATATATATATCCCTAAACAAAATATTGTATGTAGCATGTTAACTTTATATAAACATTTATGTAATATTCTTTTGTGACTTGCTTTTGTTGTCCGACAATGTATTTCAGTTTCATCCACAGCGATATGTATAGTACTAGTTTACTTGTTTTCTATGTGTACAGTGTTCTGTGTATGACTGCGCCACACTTCATTTAACCATTTTCTAACTGGTATTTAGGTTGTTCCAAATGTTTAGCTATTATAAATGATACTGCTATGAGTGGTCTAGAACTTGTCTTCAGGTATACAAGAGCTTCTCTCAAGTTTTATCTGGAAGAGGCATTTTGGGATGTTAGCAGTCATCTGACAATATCATAATTTTATCAATTTATCTTTTACATTTTTGACTATACCTGCTTTTATTTATCACTATGAGGAAAATAAAATTTTATTCCAAAGGAACAACTACCTCTCTCTTCTTTCTTCTTCCCAAACATAGACAACTCCCAGTCTGAATTTGAGAGCTTCCTTGAGCTCTAGGACTGCCTTCTGGGGATATGCAATCACGATCTCCAGAGAGTACATCAGGGTCAATTTAGAGTTTCCACAAGAGTATAGTGGAAGTAGGGCTAACTGCTTATCCTTTCACCCCATTATTCTCTACAATCCTTAAGACACCTCTCCAAAACACAGATCCTCCTCAAAATCCTTAAAAGGGATTCAAAGTCAAAACCCCTTCCACTCTCTTCACCTGCCATACACTGTGAATTCCCTTTCTCTCATCCCATTTCCACCTACCAAAGTCTTGCTCATCTTTCAACATCTTGGGCAAATGGCTCCTTTAAACTCTCTCAGATTTTCCTGATTGGAATTAACCCTTCTCTCTTTGCCTCAGCTTGGATAGAACTTCGAAAATAAAAAAATAGCATACAAAGCAGTCTTCATTGTATAGTTTTTATAATATGGTTCTACCCCTTCCTCGTAATTCTACAAAGTACTTGAGACCAAGAGCCTCATCTCTTGAATCTTCCTCCTCCCTATAGTGGCTATCACAAAGTATTAGACAAGTTCCATTTTATGGAGAAACATGCTGAATAGTTTTTAACACTAACCCTCTTCATGTGAATTATCATGTCTACATTTCCCAGACATATTCCTAACATGAAAACCATGTCTTGCATCATCCAAAAATTTAGAAATGGAGAAAGAAGTATTTGAAAAAGGATTCCACATAAAAAGGAATTCTGTATGTCAGAGTCTAATCACTCAAACAGAGGATAAGGTTTGGGTCAGTTAACCTATCAGAAAGAACAACTTAGTGATAAAATGACAAGAAAACCAAGAGAGGCTGTGAAAACACACCTGCATCTCAAAATGCATGAATTATTTTAAAAACTAACAAAACGAAATAAAACTCAAGAAAGGGCAATCAATTACCTGCATGAGCAGAGAGAGGTGAGTGCGGTCGAGGCAACGCTGGTGACTGCCCATTGCCTATCAAGCTTTTCCGGTTGCTTGTTCGGCAACTGTCAAATGGAAAGAAAAAACAAAGATTTAAAAAGAGAATATAGTATCAACAATGTTCACGCACATTCAATGTAGGCACAGACTAGGTTGAACAGCCTATCTGCTGATGCTATTGTTAACATTATTGCAAATTATTATGCATTCACTAATATTTGAGGGGTGGCTGCCCCTTGAATATTAGAAAATATAATGTATTCGTATAGCATAACACCATCAATATTCCTCACCACCAGTGGAGCGATAATCAATTACCTTCTTGTAGCTCTTGACTGCAAATATGTGACATGCCATGCATACAAGTGATAAATTAACAATTCAAATCAGCAAACCACAGGTAGCATCTTTGTTGACATAAAATTACTAATACAAAATTACATGCAATGAAGCGCAATGACATTAATCTTATAATGATGCACTAATTAAAAATCTAATTATTTAGACAAATTTCATATTTCAGCCTTTTGTCAACAGAACAGCTGATGCCTAAGACAAATGTATTTCACCACTCATTCCTTTTTCGTCTTATATACAGAATAAATTCCTCTTTAAGGTAAATGTTTGGGGATCATAAAAACAGATTCTAGTATATTAAAATAACAGCAATGGTCCTTTTTCACAGGCATGCTAGCTGCTCATTTTACTGAGTACCCAGTAAGTAGAAATCAGTTGTTACATATGGGCACAAGGCAACCATTTTTTTCCTGTTTCTGCTAGTAGGAAGTTATAAAATGGCTAATTTCATTTTGAAGTAACTTTCACAAGCCTCAAAGAATAAGGCAAAGACAAAACCAGTAGATGGTGAAGTGGATACTATCTTATTTTAATTTGCTTTTGTTCAACACAGATTGGCACTTCCATCTCTATTATCAGTACAGTAGTCAGAAAAGGGGGGTGGGTGGTGATAAAACCTAGCAAGTTACCTCACTGAATTTACCAACAACAAGGGTCAGGGCTCTGTGACTCTGTCCTCCTATACCCTGCTACCCTCAGCCACCACTAAGAGTTGATTGCAATGTCTTCTTAATCCAAGACAGATCTCTACTATACCAGCTTCCTGAAACAGGAATTTTCACCTGACTTCTAAATTAGGTATAATGAGTTGACATATTTCAGGGTTTCTGTAAAATATTTGAAAGGAACATTTCTAAATATTCAAATAACACATTTCAAAACCAAACCCAATTTCTTTCAGAAATATTGACTTGGGAGTTGATCCTCTCTCAGATGTTTGCTGCTTACCATCATTTGTCAACATTCCCATGTTTATCATATCTTAAGGTCAGGCTGAATCATTTCATTTTCCTTACTGCAGCAATCAACATGCTCTAGCATTATCTGTGAGTTTAATTAAGTTTATGTTTACTCAGCCTTAAAGAAGCTGTTAAATGAGAATAGACCCTTGATACTTAATTATGAAGGTAGATTGTGATATTATCAACTCACCTATGAAGAAATGTATTCGACCTATTAAATTCATAATCATTAAATCAAATAGTCTCATTGCTTTTAAGAGATACTGTATAATGTACTTAGCGTTAATTCAAATTAATGTCTCCTTTCATTTCAATATGGAAACATTAAATATATTAACTTGCTGACATTCATAAAAGAAATTATAAATGACAGATTTCTATCCTGGAAATCTTAGCAAAGTTATTTAAGCAAATTAACTGAAATTCAGGTTATTACAAAAACTGTTATTTATATTTTCTTCATATTTAGTATTTGATCTACATCATTTATAAAGATCAACATATTTAATTATTAATGTTTACATATGTAAGTAAAATAAGAAATGTATACCAATACAAATAGTAATCTAATGAATATCTTACCTAGGGATAGCAGTGAAATATGCTGACTTACTTCAAACTAAATTTAGAAAATATTTCTTAAAGAAAACCTTAAAATATTGAATTTTCCTAAGAAACATAGAGAATGACTAGTATACTACCACAACAAGCAAAATAGTCAACAATTTGGATTTAGAACAATTAAAGAAAAACACAAACAAAAAAAACCTCATAATTGTATCCATTTAAATGTCTATTAAAATGGCGGAAAAGTGATTTAAAAAATGTGATCTAAACAAATCTCAAAAATAAATGTCTAAATAAAACTCCAAAATGAAATATACTTGTCTGGTCAATATACAAACAGGTTTACATTACAGTCATCCTGCGCTTGCCTACTTCTCTATCAAGATTTGTAATCCTTACAAATGGATGATTGATTATGAATACAACATAGAGTGAAAGAAAACATAGGCTATCTCATCTATGAATACATGAGCAAGTTAAAAGAAGAGAAGTTCAAAACAAATTGCCTCAGAATTTGAACAGTTTACCATATTGAAGGTACTGGTAGTATGTAATTATTGGAGACACAGCTTATTGACAAATGCCACAAACAAGTAAAGCACAATTCGCAACTGAAAGTGTCTCCTCTAACCTCTTTATCTTCACCATGAAGCTAGAGATGGTATTAAAATTGTAACAGACTTGGAACTTCCTTGAATCTCTCTAAACAATCAAAGAGGAAACTTTAAACATGAAATGCTACCAATATAGCAAAACCAGAGTTGGTAAAACATAGAACAAGACAGATTTCCATGTGTATACAAAATAAATCCCTATAGTTATGAAGTAGGATCTTAGCCCCACAAATGAATTTGTTGCTAACACTCTTGATGGTAAAGGGGTATTTTACATTGTATTTAATCCCAAAATATCTAGATCTTGATATACATTAATACTTTTGAAATCCTGGGACTCTATTGAGATACTCTGTAGATAACTTTTCCAAGGTAGGAGAGGGAACAGTCATGGAATCTCAATGCTACCTGCTTCTGGTATCTCTGACAGTCACCTAATCTTACTACTCTAGGTACCTGATTCTCAATGAATTAAACTCTGCACTAACCTCACAGTAAGAAAACTCCAGTTTTTTTTTTTTTCTGGGCAGGAACTATGAGTATAGGCCACTTAGATTGCCATGGCACCTGGCACTGCTCACGTTAATAACGACATTGGTGCAAAATGCTGCACCGACCTCTCTGTCATGAGGTAACACCAGGTTTTCTGCCCATGAAAGGAGAAGTTTACGGCAGCCAAGTGTTAGGGAGGCTCTCCAGGTGTTTGTGACTACACCTACCACTCATTTAATCCATAAAGTGACAAAATAGTGGAAACATTTCCACTTGGGCAAAATAAAGCTTCCTTCCTTTTCACTGCATGACTAAGTTGATTCTGCCTTGCTTGTTTTTCAAGAAAAACCACCCAGGGGAAAAAGAGGTCATGTCCAACCAGGTAAAAACAGGAACACCACTTCTCCTGTAGCAGAAATCTCTTGTTTACAATTCATCCTCATCTAAACATTTGATCTTATAAAGAGTTATCTCGGCTGGGCACTGTGGCTCATGCCTGTAATCCTAGCACTCTAGGAGGCCGAGGTGGGAGGACCGATCAAGGTGGGGAGCTCGAGACCAGCCTGAGCAAGAGTGAGACCCTGTCCCTATCATTTTTTTAAAAAATAAATATATAAATAAAAGAGTTATCTCTAGTTTTTAGCCTAAAGGGGCACAGGTATATGACTACAAAAATGAAACTGAAGGAGAATCATGAACTCAAGTTTCATCTATTCCATCCCCAAGTGCGTACTTTTGCCTTCATTCTTCAAGAGAAACAAGCCATTCACCAAACCTGTGCTCCAATCTGAAGCCTGAACACAGGAATACCCGCTTCCCACAAAGTACTTCCTCCTCTCAGTTCTCCAGTTGAAGCCACACATGGAAAAACTTCCTTTTCCTGTGAATAACATGCTGGGTTTGTTCTCTGAATTTGGAAGGTGACTACTATTGTTCTATTAACACAATGGCACAGCCAGATTCTTTACTTGCAAAATCAGAATTTGGTCCAAGAAGACAGCCACATACAACTTGAGACAAAGGCAAAGATGGAAAATGGATTAGGGTGGGCTGATGTTCACAAGTAAGCATTTCTTTTTACTTCATCTGTTTGGTTCCTCCCTGGAAAGGTATACCTAGGGGCAACTATGAAGCAGACAACTCACATACACAGAGCACAAGAAATGCACCCAGCTGACTAGGATCTGAGAAGAGTGGGAAGGTGAGAGGCTGATAACAGTGGGGACTGGCTGCCCCTGAGGGCTGTGAGGCAAGTAGGTGGGGACAGAACAGTATGTGTGACAGCGTTGCAGCTGGATGAGCACCCGGGTGGAGATGTTCAGAGTGACATGAGGCCACCACCAGGAAGAGTTTTATTTGTCTGCATGGTTTTTGCTCAGGCAGGTGAAGTGAGGATTGAACAGGGCACCACTCCTGCTCGCTGAGCTCATCGTCACCATCACCAAAACAGTTTCACAAGGAGCCTCTCAATCTCTTAACTACTGCCAAGGGCACCTCCCATCTGCTAGGAAGATAAAGAGAGGATCTTGCATTTCATCATCTAAGTCAAGCCTTACTCCAGGTGACGGACAAAGAGGAATACGGGCTACTGAGCTAAAGGAGGGGTAGGGAAGGTGGTGCATGTATTTTTGGTCTAAAGCACCGACATTACATTTCTGCCTAAATTGTCGTTATGCTCAGGGCTCCATAAGAAAGTTGTGGTGGGATCTGTAAACATTTCTCATCTGGGTCTGGCACCTGTCTCCTAGCAGAAGAACCTAACCATTCCCTACCAGGTCTCTAAAAGCTGTGAGGCCCACTGGGCTGCGACGTTTTGCAATTGTTCTGAGTAGCTGAAATCCAGCTAAATTTTAAATTACATTTACTTTGAGACATAAATTCTGATCATGTCTGCTCATGACAAGACCACTGAGAAGGGGAAACCCCAACAGGCAGTAATTTTTATATTCACAGCTGACTCGAAAACGTTACACTCAGTACAGGATACGAGTAACCCTCATCGGGGGGCAGTAATATTATACAACGAACTGAGTAAGAAGAGCCCCAGCAATCTGGAAGGCTAGGCTACCATTT